TTGTAATGGTATCCAAACGTACTCTAAAGAGCGAGACAGTTTCATAATTGTTGGTCTGTAGCAGAATAGGTTCAGGTAAGCATAAATAGAGAAAATATTTATCTACAGGAAGGCGCTTGTGATCTCATCTTCGTAAACCTAAATGACACTAGTATTTTTATTTTTGGACAGAAAAATTAAAAAGATGTAGATTCAGTAAAAATATTGTAGTGGGCAACTCCAAAGCACAACTCAAAAGGATCCAGTAAGAATCCGCAGCTGAAAAGATGAGAAGACAATGGCAGTAAGGTATCATAGGAAGCACTAAACGATATACCTGCTGTCCAGACTACCCAATCAGTAGCATATGCGATTGACATGTGTTGCAATATCCTTATCAGAATGCGTGAAGAAAACAGCCTGAAAAGAACATGCATTTCACATGAGGCACTGAAAAACAGTGCGCGTATCAGAAGATAGCAATCATACCAAAAACATGGGAGTTAAACATTAGGCAGGCAAAGTGTTTGGTCCAGCTGTGCATGTGAATGTGTATCCAAGTTAGGATTTGTCTCCATTGCATTTAACCTATTCGTAAATTTAAAACCCATGGAACTCTTCTGGTTCAAACAGTTAGAAGATGGTGCACAAATGATACTAAGAACCAAAATGTTAATATGGTTTGAAACTAAAATCCTAAAGTAAAAACACATGGCAGTGCAATAGAGAAACTTGGAGCAGTGGTCGAGCAAGGACAAATGAGAAGACAGTCTTCATGCAGCCTAATGCTTGACACCTGCAAAATTAGCAAAATAAAGGCGCTGGCATTCATTACTGAAACGCAATACTAATTGCAGCACAATAGGCCATACGTTTGTCTCTGGCCCTATGAGGGATCAAAGACATATCTGAGTATTTGTTCCTGCATGTAAAACACCGAATTGGAGGCCAAGGAAATTTAGAATGAGCGTATGTACATGCCAATATAAAATATTATATTTTGATTTAATGGGAATGGCATAATATAGTTTGATCAAAATGCAGAAGAACCATCAGTTACCTTCTGGTGAGGTGCTATGAGGAGCGATGCGTAAGCATGACAATGAGTTCAAGTTCTAATATGTGTGCTTCACTGGTGGAGCATTAGGTCTGTATAGAGTATTGATGCAAATATATAAAGTAGAAGCATATTGAAAAAGCAGTGGACATATTTGCTGGTCTAACTGAACGTAAAATGGGACTTTGGATGTATATTGAAATCTAAAAAAACAAAGAATTGATATTTCAAAGCAAATAAATTACCATTATGGCTGATCAGCTGGCTCTAATAAGTTATCACAAATGCTGATTTCTCTTAATCATAATTTACACATCTTTCAAATTTACACATTTTTAGTCATCATCTACAGTTCTGTTGTTCAACACAGTGATGTACTGTAGCAAAAGAAGTGCTGGAAAAGACTAAATGGATTAAATTGAATGGAGGAGAGATACCGAATAAATGGAGAGCTAGTTAACCTGCCTAGATTACACACATTTGACATGGTACATAGTATAAGGAAAATCAACAACAAATGGTGGGTGTTCAGCCGAACCTGTGAACAAATGAGTAGTAGAGTGATCAGGCCACACCAGTTGCTCTATATGATGAAACTAACGATACAAAGAAATTGCAAAATTTCTTAACAGAAACACTAATGTTGTGGAGCATTTAATTGTCACAAGGTGAAAAAATTTAATAAAGCTGGAAGACACAACAATCTTAGAACCCAGGTGGAAACAAAAACTTAGAAAGGGAACCTACGAAAATGGAAAAACTTCGATGAGGAGGGTCTTTGGAGCAGAAATATTTCGCCAAAAGTGGTTAACCTGAACCTGTAAACATTTCAATAGCATGATTGCATGAGTAGCAACAGAGGGAGTTTAGTCTAGCAAAAAACATTAAATTGGCAGTAAAAGGTAAATGCATTGAATGATTAATGGACAAAATGGCCAGCATAACTAACAACTCAGTGAAGTCGACAACCAACGCTTTAAATATAATCATGGAGATGGCATGACTATATCTGTTCTACTTACCTGGAGCCAAGAACATACACTACAGTAGCATAAATAATCTACAAATTAGAACTTGTATTGTGAAAGATTATAGACCTAGGCATACATTCTCTTATCCATAACTGGCCATAGGTTGGATGATAAAATAACAGAAAAAAATACATGTGTCCGTATGAAATATTTATGCCAGAGTTTATTAGGGTCATTGCACTAAAGAAAATCTAAGATTTCATAAACAACTATATATACCACTGCAGGCTAGAATTAGTGCAGTAAACATCTTTTTCCAGAAATGACCAAAACCAGTAGTATCAACCAAGAAAGTGTGTTTTTCAATTCCAATGGTTCTGACAAAAAGACCATGTAAGCTGCACGAAAGAAAGGAAACACTGTCCACTTCATATAAGCAGGGGGGAAGGTTGGTCTCCTTCACCAGGTTCAAATTGTCTGATTCCATTGCTCCCATAGCGGAGAAAGTGTTCTGGGTGTGCCCTTAGGCCTTCGGCCATTCTGTACATAAACTCTTATTCCTATCTTAATTGAGAGGCAGAGCTCCTGCCATATTTTCAAAAAAAAAATTGTCTGATTCCTATCATTCTATTGTACAAACGTATGTTCATGAGAGTTCTTGGTTTAATCCGTAAAGCATAAACACATTTTTTAAAAACTCATAATAGCTCCATAAGTGGTCCATAGAGTTGATTCATGATAAGATATTTAAGTTTTCACAGTTAAAATGTGACATCTGTTACTTCCATAGTGAGATATGTCTGACTTATGATTGAGAATAAACAGCTAGGTATCTAGGATTATCTTTATGGTGGACCTCCAAGATTGATTATAAATATATTGAACTGATCAAAGTAGACTAACCTTGAGAAGGGGTTTAGATCCAAACAAACAAACAATGGCTCATTCCAAAAACTCTCTATATCCTCGTCCACATTTGTTTTCACTATCACATGATAGTTTGATGTAGCAGATTGCTAATTAAGAACAAGATGAAAAGTCACACCTATGGTGCATTGTTGAACATTTTAGCAACAGAGGGAAATATATGTTAAGGTTTGGACCCAGCATTTTAATTTCTACATCAAAGAATTCACGCACCAAATGACATATTAGGTAACATAAGCAACAGCAATGCAATGATTTCACTATAGCTAGAGAGCATAGAAACACACATCAAAGACCACGATGCAAAAACCTTAGCTTTCAACAGTTCATGAGGCTGATAAGAGAAGTGGATTGCATATTCACATACAAATAGATGCAACATGCAAGGCCAATTTTCATTAGACAACAGTAAGTACAATGAAATTTAAAGAACATGTGAATTATGTCAGGATAAATGCTAAAATAAAGCAACTGAGACAAATCCCATGCATAGGAGCGCTGGGGAAGGGAGAGGAGAGCTGACCGGTACCATGGAAGAGGAGCCGAGGAGGTGGAGAGGCGTCGCAGCCGTGGCCGAGGCCGGTACGGCACCCCTCGGCGGGGGCGACGCTCGGCAGCGCCACCTCGACGGAGCGGTGGCTGGGGCGCTACTCGTCAGGGGCTGGGACGGGGACGGGGAAGACGGCGGCGGAGGAGGATGGGAGAGGCGGAAATACGGCACCCGGTGAAAATAATTTTCTCTCTAGCCATAGAGTGACACGTGGACCATAATATAATAATAATAAACAGCAATGTACGGTGGAGTAAAACCAGACCGTGAAAATTGAATAAAAAAACCGTGAAAATGAGATGAAACGGTAAGAAATTTTGAAGACTACGCTAACTCTTCATCCGCTTTGTAGAGGTTATTTAATAATTATTAATAATGAGGTAGATCTGCTAACTCTTCAGCCGCTTTGTAGAGTATTATTAGTTCCATTTAAATTCTTTAACTGCTCTTCCTTTCGATCTCTGTTTTCAGTTGTCACACAACTTCTCTCCATCTGCAGTGTCCTTCTCACATGGACCATCAAGTGTCTAGCACACCCCGATCCAACTTATTATTACATTTTTGTTCTACACTAAGCTTTCTTGCTTTCATATAATTTTTTTTTTTGCTTTATATATCTTCTCTAATAATTATATCTTCCCTAATAATTCCATACAATTCAGGAAGCACTGGAATCCTCCTATGGTGCTCTTCATGGCATCATCAATTCCCCCCAAGGAGAGTCATAGTTCATGAAAATCATCACAAGGATAAATGTTCTATTGAACTGACGGTCAAGTGAATGACTGACCAACATGTTGTCACTATTGGTTAGATCAAATAGGGAGAGCACCTCCAAACGGTCATTTTTAGAGAAGGGAGTGATAAGAGCAAATAGTATATACATCCGATAGTAGTTCTGTTCAAAATGGGCATCCATCATTTTGTACCTTTTTTCCCCTATCATATAACCACCTGTTGTTCCCATATGATATAGCCAAATTCAGATATAATCTCAAAGTCTACTGTTTTCAAATTCACTTCTAAGTGATGTATTAAAAATTCCTCCAACAACACATAGGGAAAGTATAGTTCAATATATTTTAAAATATTTGGTGATACAGATGTTGCTAAACTTAATCAAACTTAAGAAAATTTGACTGATACTAAACTTAAAATAATATTCTTTTGGGGGCCAAAGGAGGAGACAAAACAGGTACAATTTATAATGGAGGGGACTTAAGAAAATTTGACTGATACTAAACTTAAAATAATATTCTTTTGGGGGCCAAAGGAGGAGACAAAACAGGTACAATTTATAATGGAGGGGTAGAGTGTTGCGAGATCAAAGAGAAGGCACGGCGCATCGACATGATAACAAAAGCCAAACATGATAAGCAAATTTGTCATAATGTGACTCGACAGATATTCCCAGTTACATAAGACTAACGACCAGCCCGAGTCGATAAACACAGTTATTACAGACAACTATCCCATCATATAACTTGTTAAATACCACCAAACCAACATTTAATACTCAATAGTCAATTATTGACCATACAACCCTCACGCCCAATGTTGCGGCACCAACAGTAATTTCATCCAGATCTGAACCATTGACTCTTGGAGTAAACTCAATGCACTTTGTAATTTCTCCATGATCAGTATGGGCGGCAATAGTCAGTAACAGCATCTCCTTGACATAGACAGCCACCACAGATCGCAAGAGTGGGATGACGGCAGGGGCAATGTTCTGACCACTATCACTACGAGTCAATCTGCTGTCATGAAGCACAAGCCTATTCTTGATGCTGCTGGTGCAGGCTGTAATTTCTCCAAAATATTCTCCCGCTAAAACTTCAACTGAAATGGTAGCCTCCACTGCATCTTTCACAACTGCATACACCACATCCACAGTACTGAGCCTGGTAGCGAGAGAGCAGCTTTCAAGCACACAATCCTTCAACCATCGCCGTGCTATGCCTTGTATTGTTAGGATTCCTTTACTGAGTTCTCTGTCCTGCTGCAACTCATCATCACCCTTGATCATCAGATTAATCTCCACATATGTATCACTTATCAGCGCAAGACCTCGTTTTGGTCCTGTTAAGATCAGCGATTCATCCTACACAAGATTGCATGGTAAGTTAGTGCTATATTCCTCAAGATATAGAAAATAAATAGCGCTGCAATCCAAGTTGAATAAAATTCGAGCCACAAAGCATAAGAAAGCTGCTACCACAGATGAAACTGTGAATGGTCCAATGCTATATACTATTGTAGGCCTCGTAAGAGTGGTATGATTAGACCGATCAGAAGCTAGAGTGTTGTCATGTTTGATGCCATATTCAAACCACATGATATTACCATCTCCAAAAGGAAAACAGCAATTTCAATATATATACTTATTATATGATAATAATTGAACAAAGGAAAAGTTCCATCATATAATTCCACCAGTACGGTAAAAACATTTCATTCTGAAATGTGCATTTTGATAAGATCACTATGCGGTCATCTAACATTTCAATACCATACGAACTCAGAACGAGAAATGAAGATGTGTATCAACTTGACAGCCACTACAAGTTACACTGCCACTCAATTCACTTGTCTACATGCGCAAGGCGGGGGGGGGGGTAATGGAGTTACATACCTTAGAGTTGATAATTTGGGAGTCCTCTCTACCACGGCGGAAGAGATAAACACACTTTTTGTCAAGGCTGTCTCTACCAATGACAGTGCCATAGACATGGATTGGGAAGTCAATATCCAAGGAGCCCATCTTCACAGAAAAGATGTTTACTGCCTCACACAGCTCATAGTCATGCTTGCTTTTGTAGACCGCATCAGTAAATCTCATCGGCAGAAGGGGTGCTGCGACGCGGGGGAAAAAACAAAGGTTATATGCATTTTACAATAGAAAAAAAAGGCAGTGATGTGCCTTTACATCGAGGGCTGATTAACTTGTGACCCCCTTTGGTCGGACTTCTACGACATCAGTAACTGATGACACGCTGTGGTATTCGCTCACATTATGGGAACAGAAAAACAGGTGGCTAGTTACAGCGTTTTAGTTGGGTGGTTTCACCATACCACTTCCAATAGCAGTGGTCAGTGAATGATCTGAGTCAACACCAGTTGGTGGAATATCAGTAGTTCATTGGCTGTGTCCAAACATTGACAGACAAAAAAAGACTATGCTTTTGTACAGTGACTGCAAATGCATTAAATGTTCCGCTAGCATCGGTGGCATCTACCATGTTTTTAAGCAAATAGTAAGTTTTTCATTACTTGACCTGGAAATTAATAGTTTCTTCAGGGCCTAATGCTCGGCAATTTCTTTTTTTGTTCTTTCCCCCCACAGGATTGCAGAATCATCAAGCAATGCTCCTAATAAAAAAGCCAGAAGGCTAAGGGATTTCCTTTTCTTTTTAGTATTCAATCAAATCAGAAATGCCCATTAAACTTTTAGCGCATGTTTCATCATCATCAGGAGTTTAAATTCTGGCAATAAACTTAGCCAAATACAAATTGTAGGCACAGTATATAATACATGATGATTTGAACCACAGTGACACATTCTAATGAAGTGGAATGGTTAGCCTGTTAAAAAATTATTAACCACTTAACTTTTGCTGCCAAGAACTAGAACTGGGGTTGCCATGACATGGCACGGATAGACTAAATGAATCTATGTGCAAAATGATCGAACAAGCAAGCAAGCTAACAGTATATGCTACCTGGGTTCTGGAATTCAAATGACACAGAAAATTGGACCTGGCTGAAATGGGCCAATCTCAGAAATTTAGATAATTTCAGACCGGGATTCCCTTGTTTTGACCCGTCATTTCAGATTTAGTTAATATTTGACTGAATTTTAGCCAAAATTTGATCAAAAGGCATGAAGTTTAAACAAATGAAATATAGCTTGCTAAGTTTGCACTTATATATTGAAAAAAAAGAACTTGTAGGCATGTTTGGGCTTAGACAAAAAAAAAAAAACGAATGTAACTGAACTTTTCGACTGGTATGATGTTGTTTCGGACCTCGTCCTAACCACACATAATGCAAATAGGGGTGGGCCGGGACGCAGAGCATGGCAAGAGGGCACGGATTACTCACACTCCTCGTCGTGGTCGAATGAGGCGAGGTCATAGACGTAGAGAAGCCGGGTGTAGTAGGCGCCCCCCTGCTTGGGATCGTAGTCGAGGATGCGCTCCTTGGCTTCCTTATCACGAGCGGCAAGCGCCGGGCCATACTGAATCTGAAGCTTATCAAGCCTCTGCCGCCACTCCTCCTTCTTATTCACCTCAACAACATCATCATCGTCCTCCTCCTCATCATCAAAATCCTCCTCATCATCGTCATCATCCAGCGCCTCCACAATGATCTGGTGCGCCATCAGCCTCACCCTCAACGCATTTGCCGTTCGCTCAGACTCGGTCTCGCCTAAAGATTTCACGACGGGGTCCGCCATCGATTCGCCGCCGCCGATGGGGGAAGGAAGGTGAGGCTAGGGTTTCGTGAGTGGGGAAATCGATTCGATCGATCCGATCCGCCGGATTCACGACCATTATATAAAGGTTTTTGTTTTTATAAACGCCATTACAATTTTGCAAATTTGAAGATACGTCGTTACAATTCACATATTTAAAAAATTATTATTACAATTTCATATCTCTCTTGTTCATGACATTTTTCTACACTCATATCGTATATGGACCCATTGTCATACAGATACGTGTACAACGTTAAGTCCCCGCCTCCTCTCCGTTAGAACAGGCCCACCCGCGGCGGACTGCGCGCAAGCGGAGCGGTGGCCTACGCTATCGCCCGTGGCGGCGTCCCTGTTCCTGTCCCTTCCCCTCGCCCGCGCCATGGCCGGAGCCGATGCCATGGCCGCTTTCTTCGATACCGAGCTCGCACGCGCCATGCCGCAGCCGAGCTTGCCCGGCGGCGTCCCCGTCCTAGCGTTGGAGGACGTGCACACGTCAATGGGGCCAAGGTTGCCGAACGGCAGCTCCCGCGGGTCCCCGGCACGGACGCGGAGCAGCCGTCGAAGACGGTGCCGTAGACGTGGAGCGAGAGCCGCCGCTCCGCCTCGCGCGCAAGCCTGTGTCAACGCTGCTCCCGCTCGACCTCCGCAACGTCCGCGGCGATCCGGAGCGACTGCTAGATGCGCGCGAAGCTGTCGTCAAGCTCGTACATGGAGAAGGCGAACGCCTCCTCATCCGTCCCGCTGCGCCGTAGAGCTCCTCCACAACGCCATCCACGGCCGAATCATGGAAGGTAAACTAGCAAAACGCCCCGTGCCCTATGTTCGTTTCTGTTCCGCGATGAATAGCTGCAGCGTGGCTTCTCTCTGCAGTGAGCTGTGCTTTGCCTTGCGCTCATGGTTTGCTTGCGAGCTAATGGATTGGCCGTCAAGGATGCTCTCCCTTTTCGCAGTTCGTGGTCACCTACTGCCACTGACTGTTGGATTATCCGTTAGACTGGTCTGAATAGTGAATATACATGGGGAGTATTGCTTACTTTGCGTTAAAAACGAAAGAACCAAATAAATGAATTAATTTTGATAGTCCAATGACATCGAAAAGGAGCAGCAGATTTTTGAGACAAAACAGAGCAAACTGGAAACCTTGTGAAGATCTTGTGCACTGCGCTCCGCTCTGGCTCGTCGCGTGTTGCTGAACTTTAGCGTCAACGACCTCCGGCGACACTGCCCTGTCGTCCGCGAGCACGAGTTACTGCTGCTGGTGCTGCGCGGCGCCGGCGTTCCGCGCCACGAGCTCGGCAAGGCGTCGTTGGACAGGTACCTGTACCACAGTACCACTACGAGCGCTGGACGGCCAACCACACGACGCTGCAGGAAGGTGTTCAAGGGCCTGACCGAGGCGCGTGGTTCTTCTCGCAGGGCCACGACGCCGACGCGAGTTCACGGAGGCAGCTGCTGGCGAGCGCCGCCGCTCCGCCTCGCACGCAGGCCTGCCCGGGCGAGCGCCGCCGCTCCGCCTTGGCCTGGTCGACGTAGGACTCCGACAGCTTTTTGGACTGCACGGCCGCCACCGTGTGCTGCGCCAGGAAGTTGCCGGCCATGTGGCGCGGCGGGCAAGCTCGGCTCCGGCCATGACGCGGGCGAGGGGACGGGGACACCGCTGGGCAAGCTCTGCTCGGGCCATGGCCACAGCAAGGGTGGGCTCCGGCCATGGCGCAGGCGAGAGGACGGGAACGGGGACGCCGCCGGGGACGATGGCGCAGGCCGCCGCTCCGCTCGCACGCAATTTGCCGCGGGCGGGCCTGTTCTAACGGAGAGGACGCGAGGTCTTAACGTTGTACACATCTTTTATCTGACAATGGATCCATGTACAGGAGAAGCTTAGAAAATGACATGGACAGGGGAGGCAAGGAATTATAATGGCAGTTTTACAAATAGATGAATTATAGTGATGTATCTCAAAACTTTCAAAATTATAATGGCGTGAATCCAAAAATAAAATCCCTTATATAAACTAGTATAATGTCCGTGCTAACGCTACGACAGCACATAACCTTGACAAATCAAATAACTAAAATGCATACTCCTTCAAATCTTCGAATAACTCACAATTTGATGTTGTCCTAAATCAAATGTTGTAAACTTGGAGTATATCTTAATTTGTACTCTCTCTATTCCAAATTACAAGTCGTTTAACTTTTTTAGTACATCCATTTTGCTATGTATCTAGATATAATAATATGTCTTGATACATAGCAAAATGGATGAACCAAAAAAGTCAAAGCGACTTATAATTTAGAACGGATGGAGTATATGTTAAGTTTGGAAATGTGAAAAATGTACAAATAGATTCGACTTAACATGTGGTTCCACTTAATCTGAGATGAGATTATTTGTTTCTTAACTGATTTCAACTAATTTTAACAAACAAAAGTGACTAAATTTTGCTATCAGGAAACACACAAATACATTGATCAAGGTAGCAAAAATGAATAAAAAAGTAGTGGCTACTCAGTTCAGGAATGATGGAAACCCGGACACCGCCTTCCTGGGCTCGTGGATGATGGAAACCGGGTGAAAGCCCTGCCCGATGATGCAATGCAAAGCAATATATATATATATATATATATATATATATATATATATATATATATAGAGAGAGAGAGAGAGAGAGCACCTATACATTTAGCAAGTTTAAAATCTGATCTTATACATATATGGACTTATTTGAAAATAAGTCCAAATAAGTTCAAGCACCCACGGTGGATTTTACTCTAATAATTATTATGGAACGAACTACTCCAACCATTCTCTTTCATAGGACGTGCACACCTTAAAGTGATAGTGTTCTTTGTTGGATCTAGTACCTGTTGTTGAATGCCAAATTCAGGTAATTTTCTTCCCCTAATCCATTAACAGTATTACTTTCATTTGTACGACCATACTGCATTTGAACGATCCATTGAGTGGTAAAGAAAATATTTAAACAATTGTTCTCTCAATAGAAAAGAGCACGGAGTTAAATCAGTTTTATACATGCTTGTTATTAAATGAATCATTGTTGGATTCCACATGCACACCTATCGAGAGTTACTAAATTTTGATCAATAATTTAGCTAACAATTTTAATTATTATACTATACATTTAATAAGGTTAGATTGATAATTAAACGTACTATGCGACTATCAAAAAAATTATAACAAATATACAAATAATATAATATAAATAAATGGTAAAAACTCAAAGTGTAGTTTGGGTCGCCCCTAAAAAGTACTCGAGCTGGCCCAACGGACAAATATACATGAACGAAGTTTTTTTAAATAATATTTTTAATGATTAATTGTAAATGTAAAATTGATTAAAAAATTGCTACCTAGACCTGTCGGTTTCTGGAACGCCGACAGGCACAGTGCCGCTCGTAGACCATATCGGGCCGATAGGCCTGTCGGCCATCGGCTGGCCGATAGGCCTGTCGGCCATCGGCTGGCCGATAGGCCTGTCGGCCATCGGCTGGCCGATAGAGACCCCCGTCCTCAGTGGGGCGCTCGCGCTTGCCGCTGATGGCTAGCTGACTGGTGGGCCGATAGGCCTGTCGGCCGTCCGATGACCGATAGGGACCACGTCCTCAGTGGGGCACTCGCGCTTGCCGCTGATGGCTAGCCGACTGGTGGTGTGCCTGCCTCTGCGTGCTCGGCGCTTCAGCCGCTCGCACAGCTCTCCTTCCTTCCACTGCGCTGCATATTTCGGCGGAGCTTTTCGCATGCGGACTGAAGTTTCGCGAGCTTCTCTTGGTACGTGTGTTTCTTCATATATTTACCGAGGACCTAGAAAAAACAAATTATTTGTGCCATAAGAAATGCTCGGATATCTTCACTTCTTTCGTGCCATAAGAAGATCCTTTTTGCCACGATTTCGTACCGTTAGTCCATAGGCAATAGGAGGAGGATTCATGTGAGCAGCACCAAAATTTGTGGCGTTTATCCGTGCTCAGGCCATTTTTTTCCTGGCGGAAACGGAAGAAGCCAGATTGGCCATGGCCCCCGGAAGCAATCACTGGCACCAGCACCACACGCAATCCACATGGGCTGGACCACACACACACACACCATCAAAGTAAGATACTGCCGCTAGAAAGCAGTCGAAGCCTCGAAGGAGAAGGAGCAGCAAGCCAAGTAATCTACTCCTGCTCCACTGATCTACTACTCCTCGGATTAGACAAACCCAAGCAGGCAAGCTGCTGAGCCTACCACTGCTAAAGTGGCATGGCACGGAGGGAAGCGCGATGAAAAGATGTGCTCGATCAAAAATTGTAAATGTAGCATTGATCAAAAAAATTTGCAGATCTTGCAACCTAGACCTATCGGCTTCTGGAGCGCAATCAGGTACATATCGGTAGTCCAGAAGCTGACAAGTCTCTCCGATAGGTCCGCCGTCCTCAGAGGGGCGCTCGCGCTTGCCGCTGATGGCGAGCACGTTGCCCTCCTCCACTCGGACCCTGACGTCGGAGAGGCTGATCCCGGGCATGTCGACGGCCAGGACGATCGGCCCGGACGGCAGCTCCTTGACGTCCATGGGCGTACGTGTTGGCCATGGCCCGGCGGTCGCGCACGTAGGCCCGCGTCGTCGCGTTCAGCTGTCGCTCCAGCTCGTCGGGTAGGTCCATCAGCTGATGCACCGCCGCCGATAACACCGGGTCGCCGAAGCCGCCGAGCATGAGCTCCATTGCTTGCTCCTCGCTTAAGCTTGGGCTTGCTGATCAACAATGGCTGGTGACTTGAGAGCGGCGGCGGCCCGCCGTCACGTGAAGGCACCTTGCTCCCGTCCTAGCTGTCCGAGCACGACAGGAAGCTCCTGGAGTCGCCGTCCCCGGTGACCACCAACGACATCGTCGTCATGCCGAACGGCAGCGGAACGCACACGAGCATCAAACGAGCACGTACTATACATGGCACATGCATTGATGCACGCAGGCACGCATGCA